TCCTCAATCCACTTCAACCACTTCTCATACTGCTCCCTGGGCATGAACAGTGGTGTCGGACGAACGTGACGTCTGGTAGAAGTAGATGTGCTGGATGGTGACTGGCTTGAAGACGTCGATGGCTCCTGGGTTATAAGAGGGTCGAGAGAGATGGAAGTTGGTGTGGATATGGGAGGTGTAGGAATGGAGGAGGTGGGTGACGATGTAGGAAGCGTCAACAGCGTACTCGGGAGGAGTGTAGTCGGCAATACGGTCGCTATAACAGGAGAAGTAGTCAACGTCAAAGCCATTAGCGTACTAGGTGAGGGCAAAGGTAAGACCGTGCATGCAGTCGACAGAGCAGAAACAACACCATCCCACACAGTATTATCCCCAGGCAATTTCGCAATCGGTCCATTCAACCCGATCTCCTCCTCGTAAACAGCCGGGATCTCAGGATCCATATCACTCTTCACCCCCGCTTTCCCATCTGGTGTCCCGAATGAATTCCATGCACACGCATCGCCGAACCCGTTGCAGTTGTCGAAGGACGAGCCCAGAGCGCTCAGGTCTTCCCAGCCTTGAATGAAATCGGCATGGCCTCCATACCCCGTAGTATCTCCCATGGAGAAGACGAGTGTTGAGGAGTCGGTGATGTTAAGTGCGTCGGTGTTAAAGCCGAATTCGCCGCCGATGTGCAGGAGGGCGATGGGGTGGGTGGAGGGACACATTCCGCCTTGGGTGTCGCCTTTTGTGGGGTCTGGGTAGGACATCTGGAATGGAACTGTCAGCTTGTATTTATGAAAAGACTGTGCGGTGGCTATCCCTACGTGACTTCTATGGTCTGGACTATCGAGGTTCTTTCCGTCCCAGCATGATGGGAAACGGACGTTCAGCTGCAAGCGGCCTTGTAGTACTTTAGGAAAACCGTACATTTCTCCTACGTCGCCTGTTTCGTAGAGAATGGCTTGGTTGGATTGTTCTGAATGGGTTTGTGTCCTGGTATTGGGTAAGGATGGCGTTTGGGTAGAGCTTGGAAAGATGTTTGGTACCTTCTGACTGGATTCCCTGCTACCATGCGGAGACCAGGTGGGAATGGTCGGGCGCCTGATGGTCGAGGACACCATTGACCGCCTTCCTGATAATCGCAGGCGAATCTCTTGTAGTACATGTTCTGAGAACAAGTTTGTTAACTTCTAGCATGTACAAGATTTAGACAGGGAAATACATACAGCACCCGTGAATGGGACGAGTTCAAACATGCCATTTCTCCTGTTGTATAGTTGGGGCACCACTTCAAACCCGTCAGCTCTCTTTCTTGAGATGAGATTCAGTCGACACTCACGTAGTTACTGTGATCAGTATATTTATCACATGTCGTTGCTTTGGCATTAACAGCATCGTCAATACCAGGCATATTCCTCGAGAATGCCGTGCCGCCAGAAATGGCATGCACATGGCTCGATGGGCCGCCTGGACTGACAATCGGATCGGATCTCTGGATCGTCAATACGCCACAGTTGACAGTCCATACATCAGCTCCGAGAGCCGTAGATATGCTACCAAGTAGCGAAAGAATGAGACAGGAGCGCATAATTCGTTGATGAACGAAGAAAAGCTGTTGAACTGAAGAGGGTTCAAAGGAGTGTGCAGAAGAGAAAATCAAGGGAAGAGAAGATAAGAGAAGGTAAGTTGCCCAGCAACAGAGTAGCAGTGGTTGGGAATTGGGGTTGGAGAGGGAAGGAACACCCCGAGAGAGCGCGGCTCTCGACTATCATTATATACTTACCAAGATTGTACGACGTTTGTGACAGTGTCGATCCTAAACGGCGCCCCCTCTGTTGCCGGCTGTGGGCTAGACAATTCTCATTCCCTACCACCTTGCACGAGTCGGGTCTTGAATTCCTGCCTTACCAAGTAAGTAAACTGCACGACTTTGTGTTATGCTATGCCGCGTAGAGCTATGAAGCCTATGTACCGTTCTACAGAAGCTTTACGCCTCATTTTGTTTATGTCGTTCGTCCTATCTCAAAGCGCAAGGGCTAGCGAGGCAAGATTCAGGGGCCGCCCTCGCTACTTGGTGTGGTGATTGGTGACTTCGGAGAATAGTTCGGATGAACCACCCGCCTGTGCCTTGGTGGTACGGGACTACTCCATCTTTAAAACAACTACAGTTCTGTGGAACACGCCATGGGAAAAGTTTGATAAGATGGGAGGGGTGAGAAGGTTGGTATCGAGGAAGAGTGATTGGGGAATTCTGGGGCTAATGGGTGGTGGAGGGGAAGAGATCGATCGGATGGAATTTTTGACGAGATCGGATGACTTGCTTGATGAGTAGGAAAGTTTAATGTTGCTTTGATGCTTGAGATGTGCTATGACCTTCATTGCATGGAGGGGTAGATATGGTATCTACGGTTCTCTCGACCACTACTTGCATCACTGGAGTTCGAGATTGCAAAATGGTTTAGACAACAGGCCGAAGGCTCTGAACTAGCCTTGGTCTCGTGAACCCGACCGCTTTTTGAATACAAGGACCCCTCCAATCTATTGTCCATTGATTGCGACTAAGCTAATTAGTCCTCGTTGGTCTGTTTCCTCTGCTTCTATCCCCTCGTCTCAATACCACACCCCTAACGTCTCAGGTTCCAAGATCTCCATATGCCCAAGAGACTACCCCTCACCCGCAGACACCCAAGGTCAAGTACATCACAAAACCCTTCGAAAGCCCTCCACCCCCCTTCCTTCTGTCTATCTCATACTCGGGCTCAATCCGGATAAGCCCAATACTCCCCACGGCACCACTCGCATTCCCCTTGCACCAACCTATACACCTTTCCTCCACTTCCTCCCCAAATTCTAATTCCGTTTCCATTTCCAGATCCTCGTCCTCGTCTACTTGCACTTGCGCTTGCACTTGCCCGTCTTCTTCTCCCTCGCTCTTCCACCATGTATTCCTCACACTCAGATCCCCGATAGAAGCAGTTCATTCCACTCTGCTTGGCGCGCGTGCATTGCTTCACAACTGCGATTTCTTGGCAGGTGCAGAATGTGAAGGTGAGGATTATGTGGTTGCACATTTTGCTCTTTGGGTTGAGGGAGGAGGAGGAGATGGATGGTATTGGCGCGTGGGTCGATGGTATGCCAGGTGGATGTTGATGGAGTGGGAATGAGTGTAATAGCCTAGGCGTAGTGATGTGTTTGAGTCGATCTTGAGGGTAGGAGACGTAGATGCTGGCGAGTGTGAGTAATCGACTTGTTGGTAGTATTGAGCCTTGGACTTGTGTGCTTTGAGTACATATCGCAAGGAGAGGGTTGGGAGTGCTGACGGTGCGGGAAGCTTCGAGTTTGGGATGCGAATACCCAAAGGTCTGTCCCTTTGTTATCGTTGCATGCCGGGAGTTAGGTTTGAAGTGTAAAATGAAACATTATTTCAGCCCGAGAAAGTGATTCACGGATATGCCGCACGGGTATTCACTTTTCACGAAGCTGGAAGCGCTTTGTGAAGGTGTCCAAGGATGAAATTTTTGATTTCTTCTGGGACTTGAGAATTCACTGCAGTAGGTATTTATGTGATTATTAAACGATGGTGTTTTAGGAGGAATCTGTAATGACACTGTTTCATTCTGATCTGTATTTGTCGAGGCTTCATTTTTGTGTGGGAATGAATTTGTTGACACCTTGGCATTACTCGGTATGTCGATTACAAATTTTTTCTAACAGAAAGCTGGTAAAACATTGGAAATTAAGACATCAAGTCTAAGCTCTAAAAATTATTGAATTATTACCAGGCCCTTTCCATAACGATTCCTCTCGGGATGAAACTATTTATGGCAGATTGGGGGTTTGTTTACTTTCTCGCTTAATACCCCGTGAACCGATAGGCACCGCATCCCTACCACACGACAATTTGCAAGGACTAAACTCTTAACATCATTCTCATTTTATGAAGCTTCAGATAAAGATTAGCATCTCTGAGAATACGTATACCACACTATTGAATAAGACTACTAGAGAGAGAAACAGATGTTCTACCAGCTCCACTTTTCCACACCGCCTTTTGTGGAACATGCCCAGGTAATTCGCCACACAGCAACACTTTAGTCAGACAGAAAAGCTTGTCACATGAAAAGTTTAACTATTTAATGTAACCAAATAAGACATCACCCTCCAATCAGCAGCTTTCAAGCTCAATCTTTGATGGTCTAACGGTCATGATTTCCGCTTGTCACCAGATCTACACTTCATGTGTGGTTCTCGACAAGTCGCGGGAGATCGGGGTTCGACTCCCCGTCAGAGAGATTCTCTTGAGTTCATGTCCCCAAGTAATAACTTGGAGTTCTTTACCTTTTGCCTCGCTAGAGAAAGAATATCAATCGGCCGGACAGTGCACTTTTTTGCAATATCAACTCACTTTGGTAATTAAGAATAGTAAGTCAAAACAACATCAAAACTCTTTTATATTAAATCAAAGTTGATCCAAAACAGATGTCTTCTAACTTTAACCGATCCTACCCGAGCTTAAACAGTCCGTACATTTTGACCTCCAAGGAGTCCTTTTTGTGCCCCCGTTTGCGGGGACCCACTTTGAAAATCTCTTTCCGAAGAATTTTCTACTTACGCTTAGAATCAAGTCAAGCTTATTAGGAAGCCACGAACGTAAAACTGTAACTAAATTTAACTCGGTGTTTAATAAATAGTCTTGATTTGAAGAACTTGAACTTACGGTATAAGCCATTGCTTCCTTAGGGCCGATACCTTCCTTCTCTTAAGTTTGAGGTCAAAAACAAAAGGAGGGAATTACAAGAAGTAAACAACGAGTAAGAAAGAAATACTGGATTTGACACCGAGTTTCAAGAAGTGAACAAAGTACCTGGGCTCACGTTTGTCTCAAGTATCATCCATCCTATCCATTTCGTCGTCGTTCCCTCAACACGAACACAGAAGGCACTTCAAAAAATTTAAAGCACAACACGAATATCAAGTATTATTTATTCTAATTTATGAAAAAATATATTTTCTGTTGCGTTCGCCGGGAATCGAACCCGGGGCCCATCGATTCTGACTCCTGATTCTTTTACTGATCGCTCAGAAAGAGAGGAAGTTGGCAACGATGGATTTTACCACTAAACCACAAACGCTTGGCTGCTGACTTGCTGCTGACTTGACAAACAGTTCTTATTTGGCTAGATCAAAGCATCAGAGATTTTGAATCTACTGGGCGGAGTGTGTGTGGGACAGAAGGGGTGGGGGGGTTGCAGGCTAAGTCCCCACCTACACTTCGTCCGAACGACTGATTCTCTTCAGAGACTACTTCTCGTGTGAAGCAAGAGAGAACATCATATGACTGAAGGATGTGATAATACACAAAGTTGGATTTCTTGACTTTCGCATCTGAGTTGCTACAACAATACTTATAACCTTCAAACTCCCTTTTCCATCCATGTCTTCACTTCACAATACTGGGTGCCTCAGCTGCAAATGCTCTGTAGCTATTCAGCTTGACAGATAGTGGATTGAATGAGCCCAAATATGTAGTGCTTGAGTGTCTTAGTGGCTTTAAGTGTCAGTATGTTAAGGTCCGCAAGTCACGGGCTAGTCAAGGCAAGTGGTTGCAAACCTGATGTTGAGCCATCCGTCCATCTGTAAAATTGAGTTATAAGAGAACATACATTTAATGAAGAGGAGTCATGGAGCAGAACATCGTAGCCAGAATGTATCGCAGTCAGGACCCGGGTATCACTGGATCATCGACAGCAAGCGCGGCAGGCAGAGAAAGTAAAAGCAACAAAACCAGACTCTTACAACAAGAGGATAAGCCATGTTGAATTTCTTCTATGGCATTTATTAACACCCTGGATTCCCAAGTCGCTGACCCAGCACTGAAGCTGCCACCCTTGTATATCCTCCATATGCTCCATCCTCATCATTGATCATTTTCCCACAGTGGTTCAAGTAGTCGAAGAAACATATGAACAAGACATTTCGACATACGCAGGTGGGTTCTCGTAGGCTGGCGCTGAATCTGTGGCATCTGGATGCGTTGTTGGTGGATATGGAGGTGGGGGTGGTGCCTGGAGAGCTGAGCGGCGGCCATCCGTCTGTTCCTGCCTGTGCAGGTGTTACATCGGCAGAATCAAGATCCTAAGAGCGGCATGATGGGTGGGTGAGAGTGTAGGCGTGTCCCGTCTTTGGAGGTTTGTGATGGGAAGGTCTCGTTGGCGAAGAATCGGAATAATTTATGGAGATTGTTTGGAGGAGGTTTGTAAGGTCTGGAGATGAGGTATATTCATTCGAATCACTAGCATCACTTGAGAATTGAATATTAGGTTGAAAGATTTGTTTTATCTAGTACATGTGTGCGAGACTCCATCCAAACCCAAGGCTGACTAGGGGCTGGGATAGCTCGATCCTCGGTGACAACAGACACTAGACACAAGACAAAAACTTTCAAAAAAGGAAAGAGATTGACGTCTTTGAAGATAATCAGCTCAAGAATCATGTTATTAAGAAACATGCATACACAAAAACAAAGTTGTCGTTCATATTAGTCGTGTCTGTCAGCTGGCCCAAGGAGCGATCTTTTCGCCTCCCCGAATTAAAGCTTTGCTGAACTTTTTTTTTTTCAGTATGAATCAGTCCTTTACTGAATACTTCCATTTTCCAGTAGTGTCCAAGCTATATTTATGACCGATGGTCTGGCCATTTTCAAGATATATTTGGAGGTAGACAGTCTGCCAGCGAGTTCCTTCGAAAAATGGCGACTTCTCTGGTGCCTGCGAGCTTTGAAAGTAGTCCGGGGTCTTTTGTAACTTGCACAGGATGTTATTAATTCTCAAACCGAGTTTAGGCTCAAAGCTCCAGCAATACCGCTGTCGGAATTCGTAGGATAAGTCATCGATTGGAATTCCATGTCTCTTGCCTCTGACAAGTCCCCCATTGGCTTTCTTGGCCAGCCACTGGAGTTCCGGAATGTTGAATAATCGACTCGTGGAGTCAATGGGATCTTGAATAGTTTGTTGATTGCCCAAGATTTTCGAAACGGATTCTTGAATCGGGTTCATGATATCTCTCGCTTGGATCCAGACGTGAACGGTAGATCATCAGAACAGGAATCAGAATCTGTACTTGTGTATTCTACGGCTTGGAGAACGGGCTGAATATCTGTTCCGGGTATACGTCGTGCTCTGTTGAAGGCTTGAAGTGGGTTGCTTTTGCTCGTGAATCCCATAGCTATTTCAGACAGTGCGATCGGTAATCTCCTCTCAATGACTCGGACTCTCTTCTTCGGCGGATTAGCACCCGGATTTTGGTTAGTTGCTTGGTAAATGACACTCGAGGCTGTGCTAGGGGCTGACTTTGGATCCTGGGAGACATTTGATAGGAGGGTTTGTGGTACTTCGACCTCGTCCAGGATTATAGTACAATTCATGCCCCCAGATTGCGGTGGTACTTCAATCTCGTCCAAGACTATAGGGCCATTCTTGTCCCCAGTTTGTTGAGGAATATTAAGAAGCACCTGCTGCAATTTGTAATTGCCAGCCACCATGTCATTAGACTGAAGTTGGATATGTGCAGGACGCTTGTTGGATGTTAAACAGGATTCCGACATGGTCCTCTTGCGTTTAACCGCTGAATTCGCTTTGGTGGGAGGAACTACTTGTTGGGCGTCAGGTGAATTCTGTGAGCTAAGCACATTCTAGTCCCCGAATGTCTCTAAAGCCTCTGGCGAATTTACTGCTTCACCACCAGATGGTGTGGATAAGTCAGTATTTGAATTCGACGACCCCACCTACGGACTGGTCGCTCAATGGCGATGGCGGTTCTGGCGACTCTGATACCGTACTACTGGTAGTTTCGGACGTGGGTTCTGACAGAATGCTCTCAGGGCTATTGCCGATTCGCTGTCTGTAATTTCTGTAATTGTCTCAGGCTGGATATTTTCGACAGGGCTCTCATAGCCATATTTTCTGCACGTCGTGGGTATGGGACCGTGAATGATAGGAACCCCTAGCCGAGCTCGCTGTCTGGCACTGCCTCTCTCATACATGGACATAGGTTGGTAATTGACTGTTGGCTCCGGGACGCTGGGAGCCGATGGGGCAGGGGTACTATAGTCTTATTGCGCCCTCCATATTCTTGCAGCCTTCAGTTGTGCCCTTTCGTAAATGCCCATGTCCGCCCACTCCGTTGTTGAGCGGAGGATCGCCTCATGCTTGTATGCCATTGGATCAGGCATGTTGGCGGTTGGAGGCAAGGAATTTGAAATGTATGATATGAGGGGACGGCTCTATGGTAGAACGGTTGCTTGGTTGAGATTGAGTTGTGTTGAGTATTGAGTGCGAGTTAATGATGAGTGAAGGTTGAATGAGGGATCAGAGTATATTGAGTTTTGTGTATTGAGGAAAGAAATCAAAACTAGGATTTAGAAGGGTATCTTATATACATGTGGGAATTTACATCTGAACTGACGCCGGTAGTGCGTTACGATTTGAACTGGCTGGGGTTGTCCTGTTGAGGTAATGTGACGGTGTGATGAGGTAAAGTGTCACCAGTATCATCAACCGGAGAACTAGAGGTTAGATGCTCGCGCAAGAAACTACCTCTATTTAGTGAAGCGAGTGTGTATCTCGCTTAATGGGTTGCTTGTGATACTGGAGTGAAGTGAGGTGATATTGAAGAAAAATTTGGAGCAAGTAAATAAAATAAGCGAATTTCCCCCTTGAATGTGAGACTAGGAAGAAGGCGAACGTCTAACAGGGGATTTATTTCACAATGGAAGGACTGCTTATGTCCAAAGATATTGATTATCTAGACATTGCCTTGTTGCTCGATAAGGTGACGTAGATGGATTATGTGATTCCGCTTTCCCTCAACTTGTGCGTTAGCTGGAATTGTTGGGCTCATTCACTTGAGGAATTAAGAGGCCACTGCAACGGCAACCAGAGGTTTTTGCAGGATAGCGGCAGATGATCCATTGCCGAGTCTCTCATGAAGAAGAAAAAGAATTGGACTTCCAGCGAGCTGATATATTTGAATTCATACAAGGTATTTAACAATGTGGCAATGACCAAATTATCACAGACATCGAGGGGCTTGATTCGAAGAGGTAGATGATCTAACAACAAAAAAGAGCAATGCAGAGCGTTGAAAGGCAGCGAGCGAACTTATCGCGTGTATTTGCTAGATTTTATATCCGATAGATACTTGAGCCCAGTAGCTTGTAAAACCATGCGTTCGTTCTATAACTCCAGTGCAATGCAGTCGCGGGATATATTAATACATCATTGTGGCAATTCTTCATCTGTCGCACTTATAGGGTGTTCTTATAGGTCACAGCCCATTGTTCGACCTTTTCAAGTAGAACCTTCTTCCTCTCGGCATCACACCAGCTTCCCTCAATTGCTCCATCAGCAATGAACTTCCACTCTTCCAAAGTCAACGCGAAAGCCTCTTGTACCGCAATATAGTTATCCAGGATATATCCGCCGAAGTAAGCTGGGTCATCACTGTTGATACTGAATCTCACACCTTTCGTCAAGAATTTTCTGACGGGCAGCTCCGCAACTTTTGTCACACATCTCAATCTGACATTGCTCAACGGACACATTGTAACCAGAGTCTTGTCCTTCGCCACTCTCTTCAGCAGCGCCTCATCATCCACCAAGCGGATACCGTGATCGATTCGCTCTGTGTTGCACAAGTCCAGCGCCCGTGAGATGTATGTAGAATCTCCCTCCTCGCCCGCATGTGCCGTCCTACGGATTCCAGCTTTGCTCGCGGACTCGTAGACCTCTCTGAATATCTCTGGTGGGAATCCAACTTCGCTGCTGTCAAGTCCAATACCGGCTACAACTCCACTGGAGAAGTGACCCAGAGCTTCCGCCGCTTGGTAGGTATCCTTCGCATTGCTGGCTGACAGATGGCGCAAGAAGCATAGGATCAGCTTGGATGTTAGCCCAAAGTCCTTCTCAGCACGCTTCTGCGCAGCGCTTAATCCTGCCACCACAGTCTCGTATGCAATGCCTCTGGAGGTGTGGGCTTGGGGATCGAAGAAGATCTCGGCATGGTGGACTCCATCGTTGTGTGCCCGCGTAAAGTACTCGTAGGCAAGAGACTCGAAATCGGCGGTCGTGATGAG